GAAGTTTTGCTTTCGTGAATCTAGAATTTCTAGACCTTTGTACCGAATGGTGATAACCACCGAGGGGACATTCCTCAAGCACAGTGTTAAATGCCTGTGTGGCTCTAGGTTCAGATGGTTTGTATTTGGGTTTGTTTTAGTTTGGGGTTTTTTTTTTGTTGTTGTTGTTGAGGTTTTTTTTTTCCCCTCCCACATTAACCCACAAGAAGAATTCAAATTCCCTTTGAGTTTTTCCAAAATCATCGGAAACTCCAGTAGTGAGCAGCATTGGCTTTAGTGAAAGCTGTACATGGGAAATTGAGGAGGGTTCTCAGCCCACCCTCCCCAGGAAACATCTAACTGTTCTCGCAGCTCAGATTTCTGTGGGGATCACTTTCTCTCACCTCTCCCACTAATTCACTCTCTTTCCCTCCCGAAACCCATTAAGATATGAAGCATAACAAATGGCCATGTGGTTATTAGCAAGACCCTCCTTGTTAGACATGAGCAGCTTTATACATGCACCGATTTTTTAAAAAATTTTACATAATAACTGTGCCCCTAAAATGAACAGAGTCATAAACTCCTCTGAGTGGCTGCTTACATACCACTAGGTAGAAAGGGCTGGAAATTCTAAATTCAGGAGAGTAAAAATTTCCAACCTTAGACACAAGGAAGTCCTTCAGTTCCATTTCTTTGCAAGCATGCAGCTGTTTCAGTGGGCATTTCAACAACACGGCCAGGGTAGTTTTACAAACGGCATGCTTTTGACCTGCAGGCTGCTGGCTCTCCAAAAGGGGAAAAATCCCTTTCCGATTTTATCCCTAGAAAGGACTTACTTGCCTTGCAGAAAGCCTCTAGGGCGGGGCCGTGGCGGAGGGGGGCTCCCAGGATGTAAAATGCGGAGGGGGACCCAGGGCTCTCCAAATCAAGAGAATGAACAGGGCGTATTCCCAGACAACACACAGGACTGTATTCTGCCTCACCAGATGCGCCTGGCACCTTTGCATCTTCCTTTCTAAGTAAATCCTACATCGCATACAACTGCATGCAAATCACCAGCTGGAAATAGTAACCTCAGCACTTTTAGAATCATTCCAAACTGCGGGGTCAGGATAGCCTTGCTTCACTAAAGGATGCTGGGAGCTCGAGGTAACTGTTCCTTCCAGCACATGTAACCCCTCAGGCCCTCGGAGGGTGTGAAGGGCAGGAGCCCACTCCCAATTCTGGACCCCGTGCTACTGCAAGGGCTCCACTCCTGACATGCTGTTCCTCCCTCCCCCACCTCCCCATTGGGAAAGGAGGTGTTGACTGCAAGTAGCAACAGGATTTTTTTTTTTTTAAAAAAAGGAGAAGAATTTTGTTAGCCTTCTCCACTAATAGCTTTTTTTGGCATTCTCCTGTGCACTGCGTTTTTTATTACCCTACAAATGAATCCTAACCTATAGAAGGTTAGACCAGTGGACTCAGGAAGCAGCACCAGATGGCCCAATGTGAACATACACTAGAAATGGACCTGGTTTGAACAGGCTGAGCATTGAGATGGTGAGAATGAGCCAGGCAAAGTTGGAGATTCGAGAGAAAGCCTCACGCCTTTCTCTTGGCAAATCTGGGCCTCCCTTCAATTGAACTTTAAATGAAGACTCCTGCTTGGATAGTTCAAACGTTTTAGAAGGAAGACGCAAGCGAGCTGCAGACTGAGCAAAAGTACACACTGTATTTATTATCATCGAACATGGCTTTTTATATAATTACATCCCTGTGCACTTTTTATTTTTGGTTCTTGAATAAAGTCACTCAGATTAAATTAAGGAGTGTGCAAGAGAGGTACTCTGATGCTTCCCTCTGTTCCCATGGCAACTCCAAGGCATCTTCTGCAACTGCCTCATTGACTCAGTGTGCCTGAGTGATGGGGCTACAACTCCTAGCTGATCCTGGAAGCGTCAGGGAGGACTGCTTTATGGGCCTCATGGCCACCAGGAAGATTCCCACAGCCCCTACGAACCCCTCTGGCAGGTTGATTCCACTTTCCCATGCTTTTGAATGAGTGTCTGCTCTCTGAGAGTGCCTTTGTCAAGAGTGCTTTGTTAGGGCTGTGTACACACTTGCCTTGGAACTTTATTGGTAAACTAGAGGCCCGGTGCACAGATTTGTGCACCAATGGGGTCCCTCAGCCTGGCCTGTACCCTCTTGCAATCTGGGGCTCCTCAGGGGATGTCAAACTGCCGGTTTCGGCCAGGCTGAGGGACCTCACCGGTGCACAAATCCATGCACCAGGCCTCTAGTTTGCATATAAGATGTTTGGTTAATCTCTTCCCGCCCTCCCCGCTCCATGCTTCCTTCTGAGGTTCATCAGTCTGTTCCATGTTTCCATGCCTGTGTGTTGAGTGTCTTCCCTCTGGTGGTCAGTGCGTGTCATAGCTACCAGTCGAATGGTTGAACAGTTGCTTAGCTTTTATATATATATAAAAGCATATATATATATATATATATATATATATATATATATATGGTCTATTTAGTGAACCCTCTCTTTGTTTGCAGGACCAAATAAAAAGTTGCTTAACAGGGACTTCAGATGTAGAAGTATATTAGCAAGAATTAGAAACACAAAAGCCAAATAAAACTATCCTGTGTGAAACTTGATTCATTTGTTCCTTGTACAGGATCAAACCCAGACACTTGCCACAGAGATGTCTTTCGGATCCTGTGACAGGATTAGGGAGGTGACGAAGCAAAGATGATGTCACAGACTTAATCGCAGAAGCAGAGTCTAGGGTCTGAGGGGTCATTTAACAAAGAAATGAAACAGCAGCTTCCAGGGTAGCAGAGTTTTTACCAAACCAACTTAACCCATTCCCAACAAGACATTACGAAAGTATTTGAGTCCATGGTGACATCCTTGAAAGAATATTTAAGTGATACAGGGAAGGCAAGAAGTATGTCTTTGTACAGTGCCTCATTCCCCATAAATATTCCTTAGTTGGTCGTTATTGTTATAGATACTTTTTTATATCTAAAATCCAGTTGTTTTTCTCAATTGTAAGACAAAATGAACATACAACTGTACTGCCCATTTTCCAAATTGTGAAATTCCAGATCAAAATTTTTGAATAACCAACACTAACCATAGAATAGTTCCTCAATAAATTTTTGGTCAAATTCAATAGATTTTTATTTATTTTTTTTAGACATTGAACCTCTTAACAGCTTAGTCTCTCAGAATATAATCTCAAACTGAAATAAAAAAGATTTCTGAAAATGAGTACAGGCACCATAAAACCTCTGCATCTAAGCCATGTCTTTTGTGTGTTACCTGCATGTTTTTGGCCTGCCTGGCTCTGATGTACTATTTACATAACCCTTATGGTGAATGATATGATTTCCTCCACATAACAGATCAGACTCAGAAACCTAAATGGTGCTTGGGGACTTCTGGCCTTGGACTAAACAGCAATAGGGGGCTTAATGGAAAAACTTTTAAAAGCACATCCTACTAGGAAGAGTTTGTGTGCCACACAAGGAAATGCTAAAGAACACAGACCATCTTCTAAATAAGGCAGAGAACTGTATATTTTAGAAAACCATTCCTCCAATACAATCAATGCCTGGAGGCAACAAACTTCACTTATTTGGAGAGAGCCACTTATGTGTAATTATCCATCATTATTATTCTTACTAGTTAGCAACACTCCTGTGCCAATCGGCCTCACCTTCCTCCAACTCCTCCCCTTCCACTTTCTTCTTAACTGCCCCTCCCTCCCTGCCCTCAACTATTCTGCTTCTCCTAGTTTCCAAAGCAGATGATGGACTCATCCTAGTTTGCCAGGAATGCCCCCAATTTTTGCACTTCAAATTCTGCATCCTGGAAAACGTCTGTCCCAGGTAGACCAGTCGGTCGCCCTATTCCTGAACCATGTAATGTCTTTGTCTTACTGTAGATGCATCTTGCAGGTGTTCCCTTGCACATATGTACCTTTTGAAAAAGTCATTCTAGCCTGGCCGGCATGGCTCAGTGGTTGGGTGTTGATCTATGAACCAGGAGGTTGTGGTTCAATTCCTGGTCAGGGCATATGACCGGGTTGTAGACTCAATCCCATGTGGGGTATGCAGGAGGTAGCCAATCAAGGATTCTCTCTCATCATTGATGTTTCTTTCTCTCCCTCTCACTTCCAAAATTTTTTTAAAAAAATTAATAAAATGCATCATAATAACCCTGGTACAGTGGCTCAAATCATTGGGTCACTAGGAACCTCCATCTGAACTATTTTGAAAAAGAAGTCTCTGGGGTCTTAAGATATGCTAATCATGGATGAGGTTATTTCACAGATAAAATCTGCATTCTAATACCATCCCCTTTACCATCAGGCCTCAGCTTCTTATCTACAGCAGAGTTCTGATGAATTAGAGGCCACAGGCCAAATTTGGCTCACCCCCTGTAGCTATAAGTAAAGCTTCATTGAAGCCCAGCCACACCATTGTTTTCCTATTATTTGTAGCTGTTTTCACACTGAGAGGGAGGAGTTGTAGAGGTTAGACAAGGAAGGCCTGGTCTGCAAACCAGAAACTTTTACTATCTGGCCCTTTACGAGACACATTTGCCTATGCCTGATGTCTAACACGGCAATAATAATGTCCTGATTTGCTCTTTGAGAATGAGATAACATATAAGGAAGAACCCCGCACAGAGCCTAGGCTCCAAGAAAAGGGACTATGATCACTCAACAAAAATATCAAAATCTAAACCTTATTATACTTTGTGGGTTTTTTGTTGTTTGCTTGTTTCTCCTCTGTCTTTTCTAGCCTCTCTCTACCTAGGTCATTCGGTCCAAAAACAAAATATGAGCTTGACTTCCTCTAAGTTGGATTAGACTAATCTGCCACCCCACGCACCTGCCTGTTCAGGCAATTTCTATGGCTCCATTCATGCAAAGCATCAGGGTTTCTGCCCCATTGTGTGCGAACTTACGCTTTATGGCTCAATGGTTGTACATGGAGGAAGCCCAAAGATCTCGCACGGATTTGTGTTCAACATTTACGTTTTTATTTAGAAATAATAAAATAAGACATAATATATAAAAATATGTACAATCCATGGTTTGTGCAGTACAATAGGAAGACTTTAGGTACAAAAGGACGGCAAACGGGAAAATAGGAACTATCATGATTGTCTGAGGCCCGGCTTGTGCAACTCGCCGGAGGGCAGAGCTGAACCCAATGTCACTAGAAAAGAGATTCTAGTTGGGAGTGAGGGGATGGGAATGCAACACTTGTTTCCCCACCTTAACGTTAGTACACAGAGTGAAAAAGAACCCACTCTACTAGTCAGGACACGTTTCTTGCCTTTACCAAGGGGCTTATCATACAATATGAACTGACATTTGTTATTTTCAAGGGTAACACAATTTGGGGCGGGGGAGGGAGGGTTGGGTACAGCTCATGAAATAAACATCAAGGTTTGGGATGGGAGTTTGTAGGGAAGAAAGGAAGCAAAGGGAGAAATAACGCCTTGGGAGAATTTTTTTTAAGGTGAAAACTTTCTCCAGGAATTTGGAAAGGACTACAGTGCTATAATGTGACATCTTTGAAATGTCTGATTCAAGTATATGCTTAGAGGGGTAGAAAACTATGCCTTTCTCCATAATCAAAATAGATTCACTTTGTCTACATTTTATTTAAAAATAGGATAACTGAGAATCTATGCCTCCTTCCAAAAATATGATGCCCAGCCAGACAGGGGCAATGACTTCTTTAAAAGGGAGTAAGTCCTACGTGAATTCAACGAGGGTTCGCTTACAATAAAGAAGCAACACGCGTCCAAGAATAGACCCCGGACGTTCACAGAGTCTCTTCCACCTGCATTCTAGTGACATGTGTGCATGAATGAAGGAGACCCGGGCAGTAAGGACAAATGTTTTGAAGGTAAAATGCAGCAAAACAATGTGGTGCATTACCTGTGTCTTGGCTCTTGACCAAAAATAAAATAAAATAAAATAAAATAAAATACAATAAAATAAAATGCCACTTAAAGCTTGTAACTGTTAAAATACTAATAACTAGAAAAAAGCTTTCAAATGGGCAGCCCATGCTGAAATAAATAACCGAAGAACGTAGCAATACAAACCTTATAAGGCTGGTAGATACTTGCTAAAACCATGCTAACCGGTAGCATATAGGTACTAGCTCTCAGAAATTGCTGCACTGAAATCAGACTTTCTATGGCAATATTTTTCCCTTTACAGACTTCTATTTACATTTGGCTTTAAATATGAAAATATCTGATAAACTTTATAAAATGTACACTTTTAAAAACATAGCTTCTGCAAAATTTTCTTGAAAAAAACAAACAACAAACAAACCTGTGCACCAGAAATGTTATTTTTTTTTTCTCTATTTCAGAAAGAAGTTGAAAGATGTCCCTCCCTCGTTCCTGCCCCCTTGCCCACCCTCTTTGCAAATACCTTAAGTCTTTCTTTAAGTGGCAGCTCTGTGTGTTGGGGGGGAACCTTCTCGGAGGTCAGCCCCACTCTCCACTGTATCTTCATTTAATGTACATATGACTGAATACTCTTTGGTTTGATTATTTTCCTTTGCAAAAATATCAAAATAGCAGCAGCGGAAGCCCTCGGTACCCTCTCTGTCCACGGCCAAACGGTTGCCTCTTTGGTTGATTCTCTTGTCCACGCAGTCCCAGTTCCTCCAACTCTCTAGTCAACTTCCCAAACCTGCCTTTCAATTTGGATTTCAAAACAGCATCCACTTCTCTCTCGGTTCCCATGAAAATAACACCACCGTTTTCAAACCCAAGGACTCTGAAGGCTGACAACAGCAGGTCTGGTGACCTCATTGCAGGCACTGCATTCAGATATGGCTGCTCAAAACCCACAGACTGTCACAAACATCAATTCACAAATACAGGATTCTAGAACAAGCTTCTTTTTAATGGCATACAGGGATATAACACCATAAGAGAGTTGGTTTTGAGACTCCAATTAAAAAGAAAAGTCAGTAACCCCAGAATTCACAGACAGGGTACTTCAGACAAAAAATAAAAAGAGTTCCATTACTTAGCTAGAGTGAGGGGGGATTGTGGGTAGCAAGTCAGGCAGCCAGGCAGGAGAGGCTTCTGGGAAACCATGTGTCCTACAGTTCCACCGGGAACAAGAATCAGCTCACACTCAAGCATGAGTGTGGTTCTCAACCTGTGGGTCGTGACCCCTTTGGCGGTCGAACGACCCTTTCACAGGGGTCGCCTAAGACCATCCTGCATATCAGATATTTACATTACAATTCATAACAGTAGCAACATTACAGTTATGAAGTAGCAATGAAAATAATTTTATGGTTGGGTCACAACATGAGGAACTGTATTTAAAGGGCCAGAAGGTTGAGAACCACTGCTTTAGACAATTATCTCCCTTGCTTGTGACCATGTTCTATTTTGTATGGCTCTTGGTGGCCCTAAAATACTGAAACATTTTCATCCCTACCCTCTACCGTTAATATAAAGCCATGTTCCGCTCCCTCTTGGATACTTGAGCTGATGTGCTACATCCGCAGAGGCTCATCCACACGTTGGCCTCGGCCTTCGCAGCCCTCTCAGATGCTGCGGGACTCACTCCACACAGACTGGTCAGGAGGGACCATGCAGGGGGCTGCTGGTGGGGCAAAGCCCATCTGGAACCATCCTGGGAGTCAGGGAGGGGAATTTAACCGCAAGGGTTTAATTTAATTGGCCTTCCATGTTGGGCGGCTCAGTTTTGAGAATGCCTACTACCTTCAACCAAGGTCTTATTTTATGGAATCAATCTTGGAATGTGCAAACAGGGGAAACCTGGAGCAGCCTCAGAGCATGGCACCATCTCTCACCTTATGCATTAGCCTGGCCAGCACTACCTCACAGGAGAGAAAAGATGTTTAGTGTGTGTGTCCGTGTGTGTGTGTGTGTGTGTGTGTCCTATGTGAGAACTTCCCTTTCCTTTTCTTCTTCTTCCTTTAATACAAAACTCACACAAAAGAACAACATTTTAAAAGCACTACACTCCCTAGACTCTATGTGTACGATGTCCTATTTTTCTAGAGGGCAGTTCAAGTTCTCGCTGAGGTTCAAAGTCATTGTCCGTTGATTTCAAGGCAGCTCTGGAGCTTCCCTTCCTTTTTAGTATAAGCTCCACTGTGCAAAAATGTGCATTATCTTTGGTATTCATTTTAGGTAGTCGGACTTAAAATTTGAGATAACCCATTAACATCATGAAGAAAAAAAATAAAATACCAACCCGGGGGCTACCATTTGGCTAGCGTTACATAATGCCCTTATGTAACCAGAGGAGAGAGAGAGAGAGAAAAAAAAATCAATTCTAGCAAACAAATTACTGGCCTCAAAAAATCAGGCTCTTGTTTTGGCACTTTGAAGCGCATATCATGAGCTTTCAACCAAGTTCAATACTGACTTTTAAATTACACTATAGAAAAACTACACTGCAACAAAAATACAATTTGTGTTCATGTAGTTAGCAGCTTTTCGAGATTAAGGCAGAGAGTCTTGCCTTTGTTATGCCATTAAAAACATTCTTGTTCCCTAAAGAGAAGCATTCTGGATAAGTCAAATACCCAACCAAGGCTTGCCTGCAAGTTCAAGTCTTATAAAAACACAACACAGAAACACCCCATAACTTATTCTACAACATGTCTCTGTGCCGTCGGGTCACGGGGAGGCGTGTTGAGTGTGTTCCGTCCATCTCTGAGCTGAGAGTCTGCCTCTGGAACCATCAGGCTAGCCTCAGTCTCTGGTGGCCACTTGCCTTGACCCACCTCTTCGCCAGTACTGTTGTCTGAATCACTGTTTGGGGCCTTTGACCAACAGACTGTGTTTGAACATAACTATTCCGGAGAAGGAATCGGTCAGTCATATCTCTGATTCTCGCCGTAAGGGCCTGGGCTCTAGAGGTACGCTTGCCTGGTTGTGAAGGTCTAGGTCAGGGGGTGTGTCCGTACTCGTGCTTTCTGGAACACCATTGTCACTGTCATCTTCCTCTTTGCTCGTGAGGGCAACTTCATTTTCATAGCAAAATGAATTTGCATTGGAGAGGATATATTTCTTTTCTGCTAAGTCTCTGGCGCTGCAAAGGGGTGTGTTGGGTACTTCGTAAGTCTTGTGGAACCTTGAATAGTCCACTTTGTAGTAATGTTTTTCCTCAAAGAGGACAGGCTCATAGCGGTGGCCCCAGAGGATTTCGTTGGCCAGATACGAGCTCCGGCACTGGGTGGTCATGGCCGTGGCCTCCACCATGCCTTCCAGGATCACGACAATCTCAAAGTCTGCATTGTCAATGTCCTGCTTACTCAAGTCATAGAAAGGACTGTCTTCATCAATTTCATGGACTATGGTGATCGGGGACACCAGGAATATACGGTCAATCCCACTGTCAAACCCAACGTTGATATCTATTTGATCCAGGGGGATGTACTCCCCTTCCGAAGTAATTCTGGATTTGAGGAGCTGGGCTCGAACATGAGCCTCCACCAGGTGGCTCTTCCGAAGATTGCCCACTCGCCACATCAGACACAGCTTCCCATCTCTCATGGCGATCACGGCGTTGTGACTGAAGACAAGAGTCTCGTTTCTCTTCTTGGGTTTGGCCATCTTGGCCATGACTGCGCCAATGATAAAGGCATCGATGATGCAGCCCACGATGGACTGGAATACCACCATGAACACAGCGATCGGGCACTCGTCGGTGACGCACCGGAAACCATAGCCTATGGTGGTCTGGGTCTCAATGGAGAAGAGGAAGGCGGCCGTGAAACTCTTCACCTCCGACACACAAGCTTTGCTCTCCTTCGTTGCATCCAGATCCCCATGGAGCAGAGCTATCAACCAAAACACGCAGCCGAAAAACAGCCACGAGAGCACGAAGGCCAGGCAGAAGATAACCAGCATCCACCGCCAGCGGATGTCCACGCACGTGGTGAAGATGTCCGCGAGGTACCGTTGTCCCTTCTCCCCCACGTTGATGAACTGAACGTTGCAGTGCCCGTCCTTCTTCACGAAGCGGCTCCTGCACTGCTGCCGGGTGTGGACCTTGCTCTTCCCGTTCCCAAAGCCATTTGCAACCGCCATGGTGGCCAGCTTCATGCCGTCTTCTTCCGAAGACACAATGCTGTAGCGGTTGGTCCGCACACTGCCCATCGCTTCTGCTGTGGACTCCAGTGCTTCTGCTTTGGAAAACAGTCTGAGTTTTTGCAAAAACCTTTGGAGAAACAGTTTTGAATGCTCAGTGAGGACACACACCAAAAAAAATAAATAAATAAATAAGGAGAGATGGGGGGTCTCCAGGAGCCTTGAGGTCCTACCAAGGTCTGTCTACTGACATGCAGAGTTACCTTAGTAACTCAGCTGACATCCAGAGAGCAGGTCCTGCCAAAGACAGAGAGATCATCCATTACAAGAGAAGTCATTATTAAGGGCTCTAGGCCCCGAGGCAACATTTCCAGCAAGACACAGAGTCAGATAGATATAGATAAATATACCCTATGTTGAATTATTGGAATTTTAATCCCTTGTGCCCTAAAAGATGGCTTTAATTTTCTTTAAAAGCATAAAAATCAGTCTTTCCACCAAAATTTCAGGTCCTTTTCCTCCTATTGTTTGCAAGCAGTCTAAAATGTTCTATCTTATGGGTCTACCTCTCCCCTCTCATTCTCTTCTTTGGCTTTCTCTGCTTGCAAGTTATCAAGCAGAAGGAGAACTGCCTAACGCCAAGGTGTATCATGCAGCTTTAAGAACTTGGACACATCTAGAGAACATTCCATAGGCATGCAGAATGTTAATATTAACTGAGTTGCAGGTGCATTAGGGGAGGCTATCACAAGGCTGAAATCAGAAGGCACAGGTTATTTTGTTTAAATGCAACTCAGCAGGCCGTCCTTAAAAATCATCTGAAATGGATCCCAGTTGTGGGCCAGCTCCATCAGTCCACACACTTCCAGCTGCCACTATGCAGAAATGCCCCATAACATCTCTGTTCATGCAAGCGATTCTCACTTGAAGACGCAAGTTTGCTCTGGGGGCTAGAGAGCTGGTTCTGTTGCCTAGCAATCGGTCCTGAAATTCTCCGGAGATGGGACTGCCGTGTGTAATGACTGGCTCGGAAGTAAGCACCTTTGAGCCAAAGGACCAGGTCTTTAGAGGATTGAGATAAGGCAGGAACTCATTTCATGTGAGTCCAATTCTGTGTTTTCCCAAACAGAGGCATAAATGTCAGCTTACTTTCACTTCCACGCGCTGTTGTTTGCTATATGTTCCTATGGAGAAGGCACCCACCTTTCCCTAATGTGAACAAACAGGAGTTCTCAGCTCTCTCCTCTTGCCTTGTCCTGTCCTAGGGAAAAACTACCTACTGACGACAACCTTCCTTCTTGGCTCCAAAGACACTGTTTTTCCCTTGACGACTTGACAAAGGCCTGAGCAAAAGTCGAGGGTGTTTTCTTTATCGAATATAAATGAATGCAGCGTCGAACTAAACAAATCAACACGAGCCTACTCTATCTCCTGGATTAAAGGGGGACAGGGAACCACAGATTAAAAAGATCAGGAATCCGTTGAAGCCCTCATCATGGGGACTCCACAGTGTCTTTCTCCCTCCAAATCATGTGAAGGTGAAGCAGTTAACAAAACCAGTCACAGCCAAGCCAGCTGCACACGAGAAAAGCACATCGCTTGTCTTGCTTCTGCGCACCCCCTTGCAGAGAGGCGAGGTGCATTGTCTTTGAAAACTGCCTTGCTACCGTCTTCTCCCTGCTCCCTCTTCATCCAAGTTATTATGCAAGAATGTGCCCCAACACATTTTTCCTGAGATTAGTCATCTGTGAAAATTGCAATGTGTGTTACATTTTGGCAGCTTTTGACACCTAAATGATGCCCGATTTAAAAGTGTCTTTGAATCACTTTATAAAAAGAAGTTACTGTGCCTTCCCAGTCTTCCACCTGCTTCAGTGTTTTGTCTGCTTCCCTGTGAGGTTTGTACTCGGACAAAAGAAACCAGACTCCTGCTCCTCAGGGTTCTAGATCTTGGACATGGGAAGAACTTTTTTTTTTTTTTTTTAACAGTGGCCTCAGCTGATTTGGCTCAGGTGTAATTGCCAAACATTTCTGCACAAAACCAGATAGAGGTGATATGACACCAAATACAGGTGTCCTCCCCCCCCCCCAAAAAAAAAAAGAGTAAGGAAGAGGACTCATTTAACTAGTACATGTACCCTTGAGTTCTGATTGACTTCGGAATCCTATAAACTGACACCAAGAAATCCCCTTTTCCTGATTCAGAAGAGCCCTTCCATCGGAGGGAGGGCCTCACATTTCTTCTGAGTTACTTCTGCACTTTTCCAGATGAAAGCATAACAACCACAGGAAATCTACAGACCGAATTACAACTCTCCAAAACTCGACCCCAGGACATTGGTCTGAATTCCACAAAACACACACTACCAGCTTCCTCCGAATAGCTTTCTGCATTTAGGCCTTAGAAAAGAGCCTGGATAGAGGGACTATTATTGTCCTGTTTCCATTGCTAATGACAGAATGTGTTCCACATGCAGCGCATCATTTACAAATTTGACCATTCTGCCATGAAAATATATTTTTGGGGGGTGGGGGGGGGGTGGGGGGGCAAAATGGAGACTTTTGTCACTTTGAATAGATATGCTCCAAAACAGATGTATGTGTATATATGTGTGCACATACGGAAGATACATTTAGACTTGGTGGAGCTGATTCCATAGCAAAAATCTAGAACCTGCCAGAATCTGGTAGGTCCACTGTTTTAATAGCCCACTGTGAGGAATGACTTTCCTACCAACCTGCCCACACACCCGGTGGTGGCTTTGGGCAAGCAGACAACTTCCTTGCTCCTCTCTCACTGAAAATCACTAATTCATGAGCATCTGGGAAAACTTCCATTAGGAACAGGGCTTCTGTGCAGTAGTTTAGGGATAGATTCAAATTAATTTTGTGAGAAAGGATCGATGAAGAGCAGCTGAGAACACTCTGTGACTCCTTGGTGGGAACAAGGCAGGAGAATCGATATCTGATTGGATGAACCACGTGTGCATTCCCCCTCCAGCCTAAATATTTAAGGGCTTGATGGCAATTTGAAAGACACACATCATCATTTCACCCAGGCGATCCCCAACGAGGTAGAAAATGTTTCTGGGAAATTGAGAGGCTACATGTGGTGCTGTTCATGGTAAGACTATTTATAGGCTGAGCCAAAATTAAGCATAAGCAATGGAAAAAAAGAGTTCAGCGCTTCAATCTTAGGTAGATGTTAAGGGAGGGAGAGCTATGGATTAAAGAAAAGGAAAAGATCAAGGAGATAACATAAGGAGTGACCCCAAATCATGGTTATCATATAGGAAATATTTCCGACATGGACCATAAAAACCAGAAAAATGCAATTGTGAACAATAAACAAGAATACATGTGTCCCATCCAGTGGCCATGGTGTAGTGAGTAAGAAAGTTTCTGAGGATGGGAACTGAGGGTCGTAAAGGAGGGTGAGCTGGGCTTAGGGAGAGGCCTGCTAATGAGTGTTTAGAGTAGCTATTCCCCAGCTGACGCCATATAGACCAGCCTGACTGTGCTCTGGGCACATGTTGCTATGTGAGCACAAGTGCTAGCAAGGCAACCTCTGTGAAGCTCAGTAAACAGAGGGAGGAGCAGGGAGAGGGGGAGAGAGGGGGACACCCTCTTACCTATGTGACCACTACAACACTGACATTCAACAATGCATGGAGCATCCCTCAGCCTGTGCCAATGCTGAAGAATATACGGATTTGATACTCAAAAAAACACACGAAAGGAAAACTGAACACAGGCCATCTGTTCAGGTAAAGATGTGGTCAATCTTTCATGCTACCGAAAAGTCATACAAGGTCTCTACAGCTAACGGGAGATTCGGCAACTGGAGAGTCTCAAGGAAGTAGAAATATTGCAGATTGTTTTTGGTTTTTGATTTTTAATGCCAAATTCACAAGAGTTTAGAACAAATATTCCTCAGGACACCAATAACACCAAAGAAAGTGCCGTAAACATGGGGGGGGGGGGGAGGAGGGGAGGAGCTGAAGGCAAAGTGAAATGACCTTGACCCCAACTCTCACCCCTCCCACAGCCCTTGATGTCATACCTCTTACCCCTGACCTTGGAGATTTTTCCAGATAATGGCAAATACAAATAAAACACTCCGGGGGCAGGGTGGAAGTGAGCAGGAAAAAGCTGACAAGTGCACGGTAATGTAATGGGCAGCAGACATACAACGGCGGTGAGAGGAAATCTCACTGCCTCTAGAATATGAATGTGAAAATAAAAGTAGTAAAAGGCAATGTGCACTCTTTGCATACCCGAAGCATGTGTTCAAATCCTGCCTTATTTCCTAACAGGTAAAGGTGAAGTCTGAGTCTATGAGAAGCCCCAGTTTCACAGTCCTATCCTGGTTACCATCCTACTGCTCTGCTTACTGAGGCACAAGCATTACACTGCCCATCTCCCATCTCTACTTTTCCCCCCAGTTGTCATGATCGGTCTATGTTATGATGCAATTTCTTTGCAGAAAAAGTCGTTTCCCCCACTGGCCTCCCTAGAAACCATGCTGTCTTCCACGTAGGTATTAGCATTATTATTATTATTATGAAGAATTACAAGTTGCTTAGGGGAAAGTGACACAATCCTGTGAGCGTGTTGCGATCTTTAGGCTCCATTCCAACTCCGGCTGCCTCTCTCTTCCCAGCAAAGCAACTTTGAGACGCTTGCTCCGTTTGGAACTGGACTCTATACTTCAAGCAATGACCAAGAAATCACATAAAAAGGCCAAGGATCGAGACTACTGCGGAGTCCCCTGATCTGCCTAGGTTTCAGACCAGTACCCCAGTTGCCCTATCCCCTCGCCCCTCTTTTTCCCTTCCAGCGACAATCCAAGGCAAGCTCCCTCGCCCCTGTCTCCAAACTCAGTATCTCGCTACAGCTGGTGCATTGGAAGTTATGAGCACAAACAGATGCTGCAGGGAAATGTTTCGATTGCTCAACTGTTCCAAGCATGTCTCAGTATTTTTAGCTCTGGGATGTGCTGGTGCGCACACGAACTCTATAGGCATGCTCCGGGACTCGGAGGGAGCGTGGGTGCGCGCTCCTGCAGCCTGACAGCTGGGCACCTCTGGAGCAGCGGGGCAGGGAAAGAGTCGGGAACCAAAGGCAGCCCCAGCCCGAGTCCACGCTCCCCAGGGCACGCATGCAGCGAGACGGAAGCGGGGAAGAAAACACACAGCAGCCCTTACCTGTTGCTGGCGCAGGAGCATGGGGACATGGAGTGGAAGTAGGGGGGGCCCAGAGGCATGTAAGATCCAGTGGTTTGTAAGGGCGAAGGCGCCAAAGCAAAGCCGAATTCCCAAGACCCAGCTTGCCGGCGGCGCGGGGGCAGGCGGCGCGCTGGCCAGGGCTCCAGTGCGCTCTGCAATATCCTGGGCTCTTTTGAGGCGGCCCACGAGATACCGGCGGCCTGGCCCCGCCCCCGGCCGCTGCTGGCCAATCGCAGCGCGTCTGGCCGCGCGTCCAGCCCCGAGACCCGCCTCCGGGAGGGGAGGAGAGGCTGCTACACCCGCCGCCCCGGGCTCTGCCAGCGGGGAGAACCTGCCGGGCTCCCACCGCCTCCAGCCTCCGAGCCCGGCTGGAGGAACTTGCGCCCCAGCCTGGACAGCAGCAGGTGGGCAGCTCCGCTTCCGGGCTTTGGCCGCTGCCTAATTGCAGCCTGGCCTTGGGCAGCTTCCTGTCCTTCTCCGAGCCCCCCACTCCCCCTTTTCTATCCGCGGCGGAGGCTGGGCTGTGCTGGCTCCTCCAGGGGCCAGCGAGGCGGCGGTGCCAGGGCGAAGTGTTTGCAGCCGCCGGGGGGAGGGTTGCATTTCATCCCGAGCGCGTCCTCCGCGCTCCCCACCCTTCCAGGCCCCCCGAATCCGCAGCAGAACCTGCGCGCTGGGCGGAGGAGCCAAGCATTAAATGGGGGCAGGGGCCGGGATCCCCCCAGATCCCGCAGGATTTAGACGCGCGCAAGTGTTGCAACTGCATCGCCGCCGGGCTCCTGCTATCCCACTGCTCGCCAGTTACTTACAAAGCGCCTCGACTTCTCCGCAGGGTGAACGACGCGTTCCCTCTCGCGTTGTCCTCCCTCAATCTCGTTCTCCACCGCCGCCTGACACGCTCTGCTGATCTAAAATCAGAGCAATTAGACAGTAATGAATTCTCTGGAACAGCAACTCCTACAGACACTCGAGCTCTGCCCTCGCACCAGCGCCTCCCAGCCCTCATCCCCAGCAACCAGGCAAGAGCGTGTGGACCCTGTAAAAAACCCATGTCAAGTTCAATGTTCACTGGGTCTGCATCCTGGAACTTCGCAGATTAATGTGTGTGTGTGTGTGTGTGTGTGTGTGTGTGTGCGCGCGCGCGCGCGCCAAATAGTAGGTGCATAGTATATTTAGTGGTCTTTTCTGAACACCGAGTTTGAAACCCCTCCGTGTGTTTCATGTTAATTTCCTCAAGCGATGAAATTAACCTTTTGTGCAGCAGTTTATTTACTCCTCTAAAAGGCCTCTTAGAGTCGCCAAACTACTTCGACAATCGAGTTCTTAGTCTGGGCGGCACAGCCCGGGTGGATGTGAGCTGGGGGGAGAGGTGAAACTCCCAATTCAAGGAAAGGGTTGGTGCCCTTGCGACCCTCCCAGCCTATATCCTCACATGGCCTCTAGGAGGCGCTGGTGAGATATGCTTAGGTTTTGCAGCCATGTACTTGATCCTGTGCGAGCAAGTATGCCTCTTTTTCTAGCACTGAGCAAAACACTGAAATTAAAAGGGTGTGGAGATGGTTGTGTGTGCACGCAGTGTGACTGCTCTGATAGCCGAACACATTCCTGTTCCATTCCATTTGTTGAGATTACGCAGTACTCCAAGCTCTGTTACCAGCTGTCTTGCCCTTTAAAGTTCTGTAGGTGGGAATGATGGCTCACAAGGGAAGTCTACCTTATGTTTATTTATGAAGTCGTGTATTATTTATTTTTTAAAGATATATTTTTATTGATTTCAGAGAGGAAAGGAGAAGGAGAGAGATAGAAACATCAATGATGAGAGAGAATCATTGATCAGCTGCCTCCTGCACACCCCCTACTGGGGGGCAAGCCCCACAACCCAGGCACCTGCTCTTGACTGGAATGAACCCAGGACCCTTCAGTCCGCAGGCTGACGCTCTATCCACTGAGCCAAACCAGCTGGGGCAGATGTGGATTATTTTAAAAATCAGCTTCCCAATTTGAATGAAAAATGTTACCTTATTTAGCTACATAAGAAAACATGAGAGATTAAATTTTGTAACTAAAACATTGTGAATGCATGATAGCATCGATCCTATTTCTTCATTTTATAAAGGAAAAATATAAATGTGCATTTTCATCAATAAGTGCCTTTTCCTTATGTCCCTATTAGGAAAATTCTAGTGTTCCAATGCAATCAGCATTTGGGTAAATATACTTTTTGGAGTGATGTGTGATACAGATTTCTCTAGTCAGAGTACAGCTTTTTTGGCTGAATCAGTCTTTATTTAGCAAAAATCCCAATTAGTTTTGAACACCACTGCAGTTGGGTGCTGGGGTCCATCTGTGGATTAAATTTTTCAAGGAAATGCGAATTATGCTCTTACTGAATCCCTCTATGGTAACCACCTAGGATATGAGGGCTAAATATTAGTCACAATCCTGATCTGCTGTCAGATGATGAATGGGGTGATGCAGAAGAAGGGTTGTGTTCCACTGGGGACACAGATCTTTCCTTTGTACTTAGAGCTCTCCAGCCACTGGGTATAGCTTCAGCCTTCCATGATCCATATATGCAGCCCAATTTCACGATGGAAAGAGGCGAAGAACTCCTGTCATTGGCATCTACTGGGTATTATGAACCACTTCCTCATCTTCACAGCAATAATTCATAGTAGCAATGCATACATGTCAGGTTGACTTGAAACGTAGATGGGTTGAGTTTGCAATCTGCTGCTATGTGGACAAGCCATCTACCATGGTATTCTTATCTATGAGAAAACAGCTTTGGCAATTTCACGGCATTGGTAACTTTTCATCTTCATATTAGTGTCAGTCAATGTATTGGCTGAGTGGCTACTTTGTGCTTTAGCTATGTTCTAGGTTATGATACGGGAGCCCCCAAAAGCCCCAGGAGGAGCAGTTGCTTCCCTCTAATAATTTACATTCTCCACGTGAGCAGATGAGCAAGGCACACATGGAATCAAACGACAATATAAGGCAGCCTGTGATTAAGTGCTAAAATGGATCATGCGAAACAAAAATTCCGGAAAGTGTCTGAGGAGTGGAGTGAATGGAGTAGAATTTATGGAGACGTCTCAGAATGGAAGACTTGATGTGTATGACATAGCACCACGTGCAGTTGTGTTAAGGATGCTGAGAACATACTAGAAGGCAATCCTGTCTGTGTCCTAAAAATACCTGTGTGCCTCCAGACCTGTCTATATATGTGCATGTAATCACGTGTATAAATTCTAAGCTGCTTCTAAGAATGTCATGCATGCCACTGCCTACACAGACACTGTGTCCCCTAGAGCAGTGGGATGTATTCCACAGGCCTTATGTGCCATTTGTCACTGGGACACGCAGTGATTATGCCTTATTTAGCTGGCATACCTGGGAATGTAACATGTCACGTGATGGTTTTCCTAAGCTGAAATTTGTTTGGGTGGGAATTATTTTCTCTGATGTATGCATCCTCAGTTTCTCAACGGATTGCCCCTGGAGCGCTGTGTCTACATTCCTAGTAGAGCTTATTTTGTTCCTCTCATGCTATCATAAGCATTTCCCCCTATATTTGTGTCTACCCATCAATAGCGACTTTTTCAAAATCCACTGCCGTGTCTTATTTTTTCTTTATGTCCTCATCGCCTTGCATATGGCCACATTAAACAAAAAATCAGTCTCATTAGATGTCAGTTGAATGAATAAATGAATGAAAATACCAATATTTGTGAGTATAATAGGACTTCGGAATACTGAGTCAGATTCACTTGAATAAACAAGCTATTTCATTTTGCCTGTGGTGGGTGGGCCTATCCGGGTGCAGTAAGAGCAGTGTCTCCTACACTAAATGACCCCAGGCGAAGCGTGTTTAAGCCTCTGCTTGTTTTTCCTTCTCCATCAGTGACAGCCTTCGCTTCTCATTTTTGCTTCCGCCAATTTGCCTCATGTCTTTCAGACTGTCACCAAAACTGTCTAATTTGCTGATTCTCATCTGCGCTGGGCCGAGAAATTATGTAAGCAAGCTTGTTGAAAATGTACATAAAGTAAAAGCAAATGGGCTCGAAGGGGCTCAAAGTGGATGCATGTCTTTGAAATAGAATGAGGAGATGCTAAATTTGCAATAACCTTGTTTTGTTTGGTTCTTTTTAGGGTAAAAAGCTTCAGGATACTGATTTACCTCATCTATTTCAGCGTCTCAGAGCACTTACATGCTTTAGTTCATGTATTCGCTATGTGAAAAAGACCTCTGGGTAAGTGAGGTACGCGTGTGTTTAAATATGCCTAGGTTTATATGTACATGTACAACAAAACCACACCCTCTTTTATGGAGGAATCATTGAGTGCTTACTGTGCCCATGAATGGGGTCTTTATTTCCCATCAAATATTGTTTAAGCCAACAACAGTAAGTAGGATTGCTCCTTAAGAAGCTCACACTTCCCGAGCAGCCAAGATATTATTCAGTAAATTACATTTTCATGCAGCTGGAAGACTTGTCTCCCGTGGGCAAGACAGTTCCACTCTGAGCACACCACGTAAAGAACAGGTGAGTGTCTGGGGCATCTAGGGCCATGCTACAGCTCTACCTGGAAGGATAGGCTGGCCGTAGACAAAGAGAGGAAAGTAAATGAGTTGTCCCGTTGATGGTCAGTACTGAATAAATTCATTAATAAAAGGGTATTTCAATTGAGCATTAAGTTTAGGCCAGATTTGAGACCCCTAAAACAAGCATGAGGAGTTGATGCTTTATTCTTTAGGCAGAGAGAGATCTCCAGGTGAGGCGTGGGAGGAGCATTTGTCTGATTCTCTCTTCCTTGTTGCCTCTGGCGGTAGCCCTAACATGTGATCATTTCTTCTGTGCTTTTTTCCCTCTGTGTGTGTGTGTGTGTGTGTGTGTGTGTGTGTGTGATCTTCAAATGGTTTCCAAAATCCCAATTTTCATTTTTAAGGAAATGGAGACATAAAAATTATGTTCCAAGAAAGCTCCTCTGTGAATGGAAGCTGTAGACAGGAATTCTAAGCCTGTCGGGCACAAGTCCTGTGCGTCTTCCCCTGCTTTCTGCAGGAGGCTAGAGCTTTGCATAGCATGGCTGCCAGACAACTCTAGAAAGCATGGCGTAGGGCCTGAATTTTTCACAGCACCTACTAATTCCCCCAAATAATCTCTACCCCGACTATACCATATACAGCTGGGCCTTTGGCTTTTCCTACAGGACCTAATCCCAAATGTGTGGCTCCCTGTTCATGCTTCTCTGTGGGAGAGTTCCTTACGTTTTAGAAATAAATTCGATGGGGATCTGTGGATTGGATTGAATCTTTTCCTCCTTCCTTGACTACTTTGTGTGGTGCAAGCATATATCCTTCATTGATATTTAATTCCAGGCTCTTGATAAATTTGTTTTAATGCTCAAAGCTCTTGTGTATATGTTACAAAGAAATAAAATGTGTATGACAATTATGCAATAAAACGCTGTGCTGCTGTCACCAATAACATGAATGACCAATGATAACAGAACCAATCACATTAGACGATTATTAAAAGAAAACCCCTTATGCCACGACTCATTTTATAGGCGCTTACTGAGATATTTTAATAATTAGGCTCACATGCAGATGTTTCTTCTCCTGCATTTGGATCTGAGCTACATGGTCCATTTTAAATGTTAAAGAAATTCAAATGAATTAGCCCTCTAAACAAGTGTTTGAGAAAATTATGTCTATGATTTAGCAATAGAGAAACTCTGAATTTGTAACAGAGACTTAAATCCTGCCACCCGTGTTTCAGCTTCTGGTCTTATCAGCAACGAAAATCTCAATTCAAAACTTGTGCTTATACCCAAATCTATTCTTTTATACGGTTGGCATGGCTGAGTCACCAGGTTTTAGCAAGGCAGGAATCAGGCCTGTAAACAACGATGCTTTATGATGTGGTCATCAGCTCCCTGCGTGGAAACTGAAACACACGGAGACGCCTACTGTACCTGCTACACGACTCGGGGAACCAAAGTCCACTGGGAGAGCTAGCCTTCCTGTTTACCAACAGTAAACTTCTTATGCATGTAACATGCAGTGATGCTTTTAAAAGAATCTTGAAAAATGATGTATCTCCCACTTGGGCAGGGCTCAAAGCTATTGCTCTCAACGTCTATTATTTTTATATAAAAAGTCAGTGTTTTTCAGTTCAGGATTAAGTGAAGGAAGGAGTATATTTAATAAATTAGTGGCAGAAAGCAGATGCAAAGTAGATATGTGCACGCGCACACACACACACACACAGAGTTATATATATTGGCTCAATGGTGACTCGTTTAAAGACCTCTTAAGAGGATGAAGAGAGTTAATTTTTGAGTAGCAGTTACTTCACTCTGTGCTTAGTATTGAGATTTCCTATCTCAGTAACCTGCATTCATCACTCTGACTTTATGATGTTTAGAGCTCAGTTATATTTTACATTATATTTGCAATTTTAAAAAAAGCATCTACTCTCCCATCACACACATTTCTTATGCATTAAAATATGAAAAATGCAAAGCGGGTAATGGCAACTCTTGGTAGTTTCCAAAAGTAAAATAATCTATAAAGCTCTGAGGCTAAACAGCTTCAATATTTCAGCAAAGTGCCAGCTAAAGGCACATAATATAAGCGGTTTCCTTTGAGTAGAAGATGATGAAAATGTCATTTGTATTTACTTGCTGAAGTTATCTGAACATCTACTGGGCAAAGCATCATGAGCCCAAGACTTAGACTGCAAGGCCATACCTACAGGTTCAAAATCCAGGCAGAGTAATGGACACGTGTGCAAGTCTGCTTAATCCTGGGCTCAGACTAAAGCAATGCTCTCCCCTAAGTCAGTGAAGCACAGAAAACAGTTGACTCCTATCTCTGTTCTGCCTTCTCTCCTCATGCATTGCCACCTTGCTTCATTTTTCCTCTTCATGGCCCACCCCTTATTTCAAACCCTTCAGAAAGGGGGTGGAGATCCACACCCAGCCAATGATGCAGGCACAGTGCTCAGAACTGCATTACTGTCATAATTTAGAATTATATTCATTGCTGGACAGACTGCTCAGGAGCTGCAAGATTCTAGCTCGCCGCAGGCTCTATGGAGAAACACAGCCCATCAAAGCAACAGGCCCCCAAGGCACCCAGCACATTTGATGACACAAAACCAACCGGCACCCTGCAGTTGGCACAGTCCAGTTGGAAAAAATAAAATAAAAAATCATTTGTTAATATATTTTTTATTGATTTCAGAGAGGAAGGGAGAGGGAGAGAGAGATAGAAACATCAATGATGAGAGAATCATTGATCAGCTGCCTCCTGCATGCCCACAACTGGGGATTGAGCCTGCAACCTGGGAATCTAACCATGACCTCCCGGTTCTTAGGTCGATGATCAACTACTGAACTATGCTGGCCAGGCTAAAAAAATCATTTTTGAAATTATTTCTCCAAAAGAAAAAGCAACCTTTGTGAGTTGACTTAAGAGCCGTGACATAAAACAAAACAACAACAAAAGATAGAAAAGAAAAAAAAGAAAGAACCGTAGGCACTGACAGATGTCTGCTCTTTCTCCTGTCTCCCCAACCCTCTTTGAGTCTCCAGAGGGGGAGGCAGCCTAACCTGCAGCCCATTTCAAGCGACGTGGGAATGGGTGACGGCCCTACGAGAGGTCTCACCCCAACTCCACCGAAGACCCCCTCTGACTGTGAAAAGTGTTTCTCACAGGAGAGCTTGAGAGCGTCCAGGAGTTCATGCTCAAAGTGAATTTCATCATTTCCTCTCTGTGCAAATCCCAGGGTATTTATTTCTCTTACGTAATTTCCAGGGAGTCTGTTACACGACCCGGTCGACTCGGGGACCTTACCATCAAACAGTCACCATTGGTGAGAACCACCAAGGACTGATATATGACTGCAAAGGACCTTAACAATTCCTGGAAGGAAAAGGGTTAAGAGCCAGTAAAAACAGCATAAATTTACACATAACCTAGTGCGATTACACTTTGATTCTCTTCCTTGCAAGGAACGACAACAATGGCAACTCCATAACTAATGCTTCTGGTCTGGAAAACCTTCTCCCTGAAGGACACGTCTCACCCGCCAGGGATGATCTCAACTGCCTCTGGTGAGAAAGGCCCTCTACTCAGCGAGATGGACTTGCTGGTGAGCTTCCTTTCCAATGGACCTGAAAGATTCATGGCATCGTGGAAAAATAATCCAACCCTTGGGCTGAAGCGAACAGCCTTGTGTGATTGGTTTGTGATGGTCTGAGACAAGCCGACAGGTTCTAGAATTATAATTGCTTTGTTCCAATCTTAACTTGCTAGGAAGGGGGGTGGCTTGAATATCCAGAGGACTTGGTTTCAGAAAGAATTAGGAGCAGATAAAAGCCATTGCACTTACTTTAAAAAAAGAAAGAGAAAACTGACCCTGGTACTGTTGCCTTTCATCAAGCAACCAGGCATCATGCTCTGCCTTCTTTCTACAAAGCATAGGAAGAGGACTGTCTGAGCAAAGGGAAGATGGAGGACCTGCACCTGTCCTGTAAAAATCGATGCCCCATTGGGTGAGTGAGGCAGATGCCTCAGTCCTCTCTCTCCTCTCCCTGCAATGGAGGCTTCTCCAGGTGAGCAAGCTAGTTGTCAATGGAGCTGGCAGGAAGGGTTCGGTTGGGGCAACAGGAAGTGGGCAGAATCAGAGCCTCTCCCTCTCCCCCACTCAGATCCCATGTTGAACCAACAGCCCCCCTTTCCCTTTTTTCCTCATTTCCCTTTCTCCTCAAGGAATTTCCCACCAGTTGGAGAGCAAGGACATCAGCTGTCACACTGATGAGAGAAGCTGCACTTTTGCCCTTGGCTGTGGCCGTGTCTTTGCCTGTAGAACCCACTAGTGCTGTAGGGCCTGCAGCAGCTGCTGTGACGATGTCCGGCCAAAGGCCCCCCGCTGCTGTCCTGTTCTCCTCTTCTTCCTTAATGTCTGATCACAGACTCCTCAAGAAAAACCTCTTGCTGCTTCCTGGCCTCGGAGCTCAAATATCTAGATCACTAGGTATCAGAAGAGCTGGTCTTGGGCCTTTTGAGGACTACTGATTGTATTAGACGTTCTGATGAAGAACAGAACTAAAACGAAAAAGGCAGCAACCCAGGAAAAGAACAGACACTTAGAGATGGCGTCACTGGGAGACTGTTTTTCCAAAAATCAATTCTTCAGAAAACTCGCTGCTTTGTGTGGAGTAACTTCCCTGGCACCACAGACAGCCACCTCTGAAATGAGTTCTCCCAATGTATCCCGTTCCTTCTGTGCATGAAAAACAATAGAGGGCTGAGCAGGTTTGATGGGAAAGTATCTGCATGGAGAAAATGACCCAGAGCAGAGATATATGTTTTGTAGGTGAATATTCTTATTATACAAGAGCCATGGAAGAGAAAGCCTGTTTCTGAAACCTGGGCTGATTTGGCTCAGTGGTTGAGCATCAATCTATGAACCAGGAGGTTTTGGTTCAATTCCTGGTCAGGGTACATGCCCAGGTTGTGGGCTCTATCCCCAGTAGGGAGTGTGCAGGAGGCAGCAGGTCAATGATTCTCTCTCATCATTAATGTTTTTTTCTTTCTCTCCCTCTCCCTTCCTCTCTGAAATCAATAAAAATGTATTTAAAACTTGGGCCTTTCTGATATTTTACATCAAGGATGTCACTCTCTCCATGGTTCCAGGTCAGTGGTCTACAGACCACAGCTCTCAGGCCAAACCTGGCTCACCATCTACACAACTCACGAGTGTTTTTACACTTTTAAATGTTGGGAGATGAAGGAAGAATAATATTTTGTGACACTTGACCATTTTATAAAATTCAAATGTCTATATTCATAAAGTTTTATTAGAACAGAGCCATGCTCATTTGGTTTGATAGTCCCTGTTTTTGTGCTACAGGGACAGAGCTGACTGGATGAGAAAAAGATCATATGTGGCCCTCAAAACCCCAAACATTTACTATCTGGCCCTTTAGAAGTAAGTTTGTTCACCACTGGCCCAGAATAATGCTATGGAACATAAGGCCGAATTGAATAAAAAGAGTGTGAATGCTAGTCCTCATCTGTGATTCTAGTCGGCTGATACTGAATACATTAAATGTGCTTCCATAGAGAACAATTAGTCATTCAAACCATGTGGCATATGTGGGTAAATGTTCAGGATTGCCTCCAGGACTCAATTAAATAGAAACACAACAGGGGGAATCAAATATAAAGATGGATGGGGTTTATAAAATAATAAGTGACTGTATTTCATGAGACATTTTTGGAAAAAAATCATCAAACATTAAAAAGAAGTAAGCCAGCTCACTCATTTTGGTGGAATTTTGAGTTTCAGAATCTAATGAAATGGAAATGGTGATATTAATGACTTCAAACAATACAGGATTTCCCCAAATGCTCTCTATTTAGTATTAAAATTTTTTATTTGAAAAGGAATTTTAGTAATCTTTGGGGTTAAGTATTTATCAAAAATCCATGGAAACATTAATCCTCTTCCTTATCCTGTTTTTTATTTTACAAACATGGAAGAGAGAGTTGAACACGGTCTTCCTTCAGGTTCCACCCAGAGTTATTTTTCTATTTATCTCTGGCCAAGCTAAAAGGGCGGAAATTTTACCTCATTTTATTAGCCCTTTTAACAATTTTATCTACTAGAAATCAAGGTGTTATAATCAATTTTAAAATCTTCTGCATGAATGTGAGTCCTCTAGGAGTTATATAATTTAAATGATTATGATATAAATACAGTTCAACGAGTTATTACATAGTTCTCCATGCCCTGGGTGGTTTCAGTACTATGGCCTTTAACAGGACATAATTGTATTATTTCTCCTGTTTGTTTTTCCATGGTTACTTTAATCTGATGATCTCCAAAGTTTGATCTAAAAGTGGTGTTACTATTCCTAATATTATTATCCTCATTATCATTGTCATTTTCATAACAGGGAATGCTAGGCTAGAGACCACAACTTTCTTTCTTCACAGCCAATAAGTGCATATGAATTTAAAAGCAAATTACAATGTCTTGTCTTTTCACCACAATGTTCATAGAGGAATATAGAGCTCCTTCATTCAGGCTCCTGGAAAGATGAAGTATGCTCGCAGCTATCCTTGCAAAACATCAGAACACAAAAAGATATTGCATTTAATACTTCCAAGAGTGTTCCCCTGGTAAGTATTTGTAAAGAAGCATACCGACAAGTGTTCCTGAGCCTTTCTGCTGCTTACATAACAGTTAACAAAAGTCAACAATTTACTGCAGCCATCTGATAAAGAGCAATTCTACGATAAACTAAATATAAATCCATTCCCTACTCGAATAGTATTACTATCGCGTCTACAGCAACAAACACAAAATACGCATTCAGTTCAAGGTGATTTGCATCCTTATTCATCAGTCAATCCTGTGAGGCATGCCCACATACAGCTTCCCGAGCAGGACCCTAACAGAAGTGTGCCTCCAAGCCTCCACCTGTGTCTGCTGCTTCCTCCTGGGTCCGTGCCTCGGTGTCACCCTGCCCTCCCTTGCAGACTAGTTGCCATCCCTTCTCAACTCTGCCAGGCCTCTACTTCTTTAATTAGCCCCTCCCTCCTACACCGTCTATTTTCTCCTCTCTATGGGATCATTCCCATCTGTTCATAAAACATGCTGAACTCCCTCCCACTTACAAAAGAAAGAAAAAAAAATGCAAAGAAAGAAAGAAAACAAAAGGAAAGCTTGACCCCAGATCTCCCTCCGGCTAGTACTGCTTCATGTCTCTTCTCCCCTTTAGATCAAAACGTCTCAAAAGGTGCCACTACTTTCTCACCTCTCATGCTCCTTCTCTCTGACCTCCCTGAGGGGGCACGGACCCCGGGCATTCACGCCAAAGGCTTCCATGCTGAGTCCCACCGCAGCTCTGTTCGCGCTCCCAGGGCCCCTGAGCGGCTCCCGGTGGCCCGTGACCGCTTGGGCCGCTTCCTCTCCTTGGCTGGTAAATAGCCACCCTTCCCCGTCATTCCTCAGGCCTCGCAGACAGCTCGCTCCTTCTCGCCCCCCTCTGATGAGTTCCCTACGTCTCAGCCTCACCACGTGGCAGTGTCCCCGGCTCTAGGACCACGTTTTCACGTCTCCATCCAATCCCCGGCAGATCCCATGCAAACCTGCACCGGTAAAGGCAGAGGTATGCACAGGGCCTCCAGTCTTACAGCCTCAGGCCCGGCCTTCTGTCCTGCCGCAAACTCAATGTACAACGTCCTACTCCTTCCCCCACCCGCGTATCCAATAAGCATCGGAAACGCACTCCGGCCAACACGGAATTCTTGACTTCGCTATTCCCCCAAACTCTGAAACTTCTTTGTGTGCCAGGGTCTGCGCACTGGCTCGGAACTCTATTTCCCAGGTACCCACATGGTGTCCCTTCTCTATCCCGGGTCTAGAACATTCTCTTCTAATATCCCGAGCACAGGTTTCCTCCAGCCAGAGGCCTTTCCTGACCACCCTCGCTGAAAGGGCGCCATCGCTCTGGGCCCGGACCACGCTGCTAGTTCCCGCCAGAGCACTACCTGCGCCTGTCCTCACGTTCTGCGTTTGTCTATTTGCTTCCTCTCGTCCCTCCTACACTGGAAGTCCAAGAGGGAAAGGTCATTTTTCTGTCTAGTTCGTTATGGCCCACACAATGTCTAGGAATGGAGCCCAAATATGAATACATGAATTAATGAATTTTAGGAATATCAGGTACTGCAATTGAAAACTCTTATTTCACTGAATGCATTAATTCTAGTTTGGGCAAACAGACTAACAAACTAACAGGCAAGAAAGGCAGGAAGGGAGGAAGGGAGGAAAGAAAGGAGGAAGGGAGAGAGGGAGGAAGGGGGGGAGGGAGGAAGGGAGGGAGGACAGGAGGGAGGGAGGAAGGGGAGGGAGGGAGGAAGGAAGGGAGGGAGGGAGGGAGGGAGGAAGGAAGGGTTAGACAGGAAAATAAAGCCATGGCTTAGAAGGAGAATTATTGTTCACGGCAATAAACTCTGGGTACAGATGCATAAGCAGTAGATGTGGATTGATGAATGGGTTCTACTATTTAATTATGTGAGTATAGGCAAATGTTTTCTGATTCTTAGCATTTCATGAATAAAGTGGTTAGAAGAAGTACACGGGAGGTTTTTCTGTTTTAAATCTATGAGCTACATCTCTCATTTGTAGTGACATTATACCTCTAAATGAGACAACATGGAGACATCCTATGCGAACATCTTGTGACAAATGTTAAGAATGGGCACCTTTTTCAGACAATAAAAATAAAGATGGGTACCACGTATTGGCCATTACTCTGTGCTAAGGACTGTCTTAAGTATTTTTACCTGTAATGTGTCATTTAATTGTGACCATGTTATGAGGTAAGTACCTTTACCCCTATTTAACAGGTAAGGAAACAGGCTGAGAAGTCTGCGAAGTTGGCCCATGGGGACACCACTAGACACCCACAGAGCTAGGATTCAAATCTAGGTCCTTGGACTGCCGAGTTTCTGTCTAATTAAATTAAAGAGTGTAACAGAGAGATACAGAGAGAAAGACAGGGAGACTGATATACAGAGAAGGAGAATAGAAATAGAAAGAGGCTGAGAGAGATAGAGAAATTGTCATATTAGAGACAAACAGAGACCAAGAAATGGATGAAGAGACTCAGCACCCACTTTAGCTTGGCGATAGCTCTGTGAGAACGTATTACTCTCTCCTTCTTTACGCACACACATCCTTATTGGAACTCCATTTTTTCCTAATACCTTCATCCCTGGTTAAAACTATATCCTTGAGCAAATGAGCCCTGATAATATAAAATAGTGGCCATTCAATTCCTGAATTTGTTACTAACTATATATTTAGTCCCTAGCAGACCGAACTCGGCGGGAAGGTGGCCAATCCCATCTTTCTCTGTTCCTTACATCTGGATGCTGACATAAGTGGAATTTAGGAAACAGAAAAGTCCTTTAAACAAATATAACAACCCCATGAAATGCATAAAAACTCTGATATTATCATGCACATAGTTACCAAGCAAGTCTTTGCTTCTTATTAAAATCCTGTTTATTAAGCTGCTTCTGCACCAGTATATGCATTAATGTGCTTATTCTGATACAGTAATTAATACCTAAGTTCTGGCAGTTTCCTCTTGCTATAAATAGATTGCTGGATCTCAATGGACATGATCCAGACTATCATGTCTATGTCTGTGGATATAGAACAGCCACCCAAATGAACACCAATTCCATCTTCTAAATATATATTCCACGTGGAGGTAGCAAAGGAAAAATCCAGTCCAAGGAATCCATACTTAGACCACTGGCACTTGCTGCTTTTCAGTGGGAGCTATGTTCTGACTTGAGTGGTACCCATTGTCTTTCATTCAGAGGCCTTCCTGGTAATGTGATTCCCAAGTTATTCTTCCAAACAGCATCCCACAGAAGTGGGGCGGGAATGAAAGCATTGGATTTACTTCATGGAAAAAAACATGTGTTCCCTTGTGACCACAAGGTGGCACAATGGTGACCAAGAATACTC